CACACACACACACACACAACCAGAGCAGCAGAAGCGCTGTTTTTTCCCAGTAAACCACCATGTGAACAGCTGAAATCCTCGTTAAGGGCAAAGCCCACAAACACATAAACATGTCTTACTTCCTGGTGGCAGAAAGCAGGCCCAGAAGCCTTTTGCTCCACATGGGGCCAAGGAGGCTCTGATTAACCTTCTTACAAGGTCAGACGCACAATATTTATTGCTTTAAAATAAAGCATTATAACTGAGTGGCAAAGTTCTGGTTGTTGTTTAACGGTTAGGGTGAGGGTTATAAAGTTGAGGTTAAAGTTAATGTTGCTATGAGACTTTCCTGCAGGATCATGCTTGGTGTCATCGTGCTAGACCTTTCCCAAACAGCATCTGCACCTCAAATCATCCTTGTCTACGCATAATGACGCACATCAAGGGAAAATAAAGCTGCAGGGGCACCTAAGTGTTATCACAGGCCATCTTGGTACCCCATGAGCTCTCTTTCTTTCTGAGAAGTACCTCAGAAATAACCCCTCAGAGTCTCTGAGTGAAACCCTTTAAACAGGAATGTAATAACAGAGGGGGTAGCTTGAACTAGAAGCAAGAGGATGATTTCAGAGCTCTAGCATCGGAGAGGAATCCACTTCTAATCGCACACACGCATATACGGACGATACGAGCTGTTACGTAACTTTTTTGGAGTGAGATATCTGACTCACTTGACAGAACATATGCGTCCCAACTGCCCGTGGAGCCCATTTTGGCCCAGGCAAGACTGGAAAATTATGGATTTCCTAAAAACTCCCGCTTCCTTTGTTGCAGCCAACTCCTGCATATTGGCTCACTGCGGCCAAGAATGAAACAATAATGACCTGAGTAATAAAAAATCTAACAAACATAGCAGTGTAGTTATTGGAATTGAGAAAGGCGAGGCCACAAAATGATAAACTTGGCTGAAGACGAGCCTCCTCTTAACTGCAGATTATAGTAGGAACTAATGACAAGTTGAGTAATTGCTGCCAGAAGTTATTGTTCGGGATGAACGCCTCTTGTTCCCATGGACCAGAAATACATTCAGTGAAACCTTTTTATGGAGCTTTAAGGGTACAAATAACTCATTCTGTTTAAAAGGAATTAGATATCTGGAAACTTATCGTGTTGACATTGGTTTTATTCTATGCATGCTGCTGTCATTAGCGAACTAGCTAAAAACCCTTATTACATGAGATTATCCCAAGATGTTAGCCGTAATTGACCTTTCGTTTTAAAAGGGCAGAATAATGACTTCAAGACTCCGAAAGGAGGCAAGAAGTTAAAAAGTACCAGCAGGTTCCTTTGATATCAAACTGAAGCCACCTGTAGAACAAAGAGTGGACTGTTTCTGCGTAGTTGTGATCCGATCATACCTGATGGAAAAGTGTCCATCCATTAACTTTACCCCGTGGGGGGAGGACAGATCACCAGTCAATCACAGGCAATTTAAAGTCGCCAATTAACCTTTTTAGGAAATAATTTCTCAAAAATAAACCTGAATTGCCACATTTATGCCTTCTAATTTAATGTCTTTTGTGATTAATTCGAAGCTAGTTGGACACTTTCACCCTAACTGCATTAATATCTAACCGCGTACAACGTGCTCTAAATACAAGCCAGATGTGAGAACAGTCCTGTGAGTAAGAAAATACAATAAGGAACTATAACTCTACGTGACAGTGGCATTTTCACCTTTAAAACATGCAGCTGACTAAGAAAACGTCCACCGCTGTAAGCATAAATTATGCATGCAGCTTCTACAGCTGATTTCACTCTTCAGCCATCCAGTAGTTTCCCATGTGAGCTTTTAAGCGTTAAAGACAGCAAAAGTGTTGAACTCTTATATTGAAAACATGCTGTTCTGGAGTCGCCATGACGGAAGACTGAAAGCTCACAGTGGGGGCCATGCGTCAGAAAAGTACCCCACATTTCTTGTTTTTGTCTTTTTTTATACTTTTCTTGTTAGAAATCTGTTGGCAATTGTCTCTCTTTCTTTAAAGTGTGTGTGGGTGTGCGTGCGGGTAATTTTCTGCTTTCAGGACTTGAGGAACGTGAGGCCGAGACAGGCACGCTACGCCTAGCGAGACGAGCTAGCGCGGCCCGGGGTCAAAGCTCTGTACTTTACTGTATTGGGTTCCCCTTAGAGTATATAGGGTATACACAAGTGGGGGGTATGCGCACAGACACACACACTTACACACACACGCCAAACCCCAGAGCGATCACGTCCAATTTGCAGGTTGGGTTTAGTGTCGGGTGCGGGAGAAACCAGGCCCGCTGCCAAGAAAAACACCACGGTTGGAGCTGGATGCCCATTAAAAACAGCGGTGAAATTAATCATATTCAAGATTTTGTGGCATTTCTGCAAATTAATCAGGGAGATTTATACCGCAGGGGGCTCGATGCCTTGCTTCGGGGCACTTGAGACAAGCCACATGACTAGCAACAGGTGATTAACATGTGACCTTTTGGTTAAAGAGTGAAGAAGCGTAGAGAGAAGTTGGAAATAGAAAGGAGGAGGCGACATGCAGTGGAAAAATGTAAGAAAAGGAGGGAACAAGACAGAGGTGGAAAGATGGAAGGATGAGATAAAAGAGGATGTTAGAAAAGAGAGAAATATAACAGAAAATACATGAAAAATGGTGCCTGAAGCTTGATTTACAAAGTGGGAAAGACAAAAACGAGGCGTGACAGTCGGTACAGAAAGCATTAGCATGGGTGTGAGAGTGTGAGAGAGAGTGAGAAGAAAATGCATCTGTGTGTGAGTGTGTGTACACATATATATATATTTCCACGACCTGGCTGCGTCTACATCTGGGGAAGATGAAACGGAGGCCGCTCATTGGGGGCGAGGGATGACATAGAGGAGCAGGAGAAGTAAAACAGAGACAGGACGGAGAGGAGAGGAGAGGAGAGGAAAGAGGGAACGTTTATAGTTTATTACTGTGGTGATGGAAGGAGGCAGGAGAGGAGAAGATGAGGCCTGTCTTATAACTTTAGACCAAACTTTAACTTAATTTTAACCTTGTGAGTGTGAGATATGTGGTTAAAATCAGCCACCATCAGCCCAACAACCAGCGACCAGCAGTTTCAGCTGCTCTTTTAGCTTTAATAAACAAAATAAACTCAACCCAACTAAGATCAGCTTAATCGCCTTGTTAAGTTATCGTAGAGCACACTAAAACTCACCAAAATTGCCTTGGTTAGTCTAAGATGTGAAAATATTCTGGCTCTACACGCTGTCACTTCCTCTCTGATGCCCGACCTCCCTCGTAACGCCCCTCCTGGCCCGTCCCCACAGTGTCTTAGTCTCCTAAATCACCTCAGTACTGTATTCCCTGTCGTCAAACTGGTAGAAAAAAACCCTGAATTCACCGACTTACATGTGAAATTATTCTTTCTCTACAGCTGTTTGCCTGTCACTGAGCAGCAGCTCTCATTCTACAGAGGCAGACCATTAAATCAGCTAAATAAACTGACAAAAATCGGCCCCAAAAGTAGAAGAAAACACACACAGGAGACTTTAAAATGCCACCATTGACACTAAAGTAACTGACTGGTGTTTTAATGCATAACAGCAACGGAGGAGCTCACAGCACCAAAAAAAAGCTATTTATTGTTCTTTATTATTGCAATTTTACTTATGTCTTCATGTCTGTCCATCCTCTTTTGATCCTCCTGAAGTTCTTCCTCTTCTTCCCGTTAAGAGGATTTCATGTGAAGTTTTCTCCTGATCCAAATCAAAGGTCTAAGGTTGCCTGAGGAGGGTTGCTGTAAAAAGACTGTAACAGCCCAACCGTGTGAAGTTTGTGATTTAGGGCTGCGTGAATAAAACCGTCTTGAGTTAACTATAAAATAAATTACAACCGTGTTTATTACGGCACGTCGACACTCATAACCAGTGTTAGCTGTTTAATTATCGCAGCAAAGTTAATATTTAACATCACACTCGTAAAAGTTAAATAAACACTTAAAGGATGAATAACAACTTAAAACACCATTTATCTCTGAACAAATGGACAAACAGACCTTTGAAAAAATTGACATTTTTTGTACTGAAAGGTCAAATATCACTCTTATTGATGGTTATTTTTTCTCTGTTTCTTTCAGGTGACAGATAACATCATATCAAAGCAAACCTTCATAGGTGAGTATCTCTCACACACACACACAAACACACACAGACCACAATGCAACAACCTTGTTTCTGACCTTTTTTTTTACATTTCCTCTCTCCTTCAGAGGCGAGAACGATGCCTCGCGCTTTCAACAACTCGGGGTCGAAGTTCATGACCTCGGTGACCCAGAGGCCATCTGCCCACTTGACCCTCAGAGACACCAGCTCTCAAGGTGAGGCACCTGTGTGTCGGGGTGTTACTGTGGGCCAAGGGTGTTTAGGAAGAGTGAAGAGGAAGTTTTATGAAAACCATAAAAGTTGTCAGTGTCATTGTGTGTATCATTGTGTTTATGACCACTGCAGAACACCGTTTCTGCGTGTTAAGTGATAAAAAAAAAGAGAAAAACTGAATTTATTCCTTGCCTACGTATGTCTGTGTAACTGACGTCTGGGAAGAACAACATTAAGGCACCAACAGCTGATTTGTGGATGAAGGCGGAGAAGAACTGACTCGACTAATAAACAATGAGCCAAAATCTTGTAAAGAAATTCCACAAAAAGGAACTTTGCTTACAAGAAAACTAGACTCAAACAGTGACGCATGAAATGACAAAAAATCCCTTAAAATATTCTTAAGATATATATATTTTGTAATCTTTTAGACGGCGTAATTGTATCCCTTAATCCTCCCTTAACTTTAGGGAACCGGCTGCTTAAATAGACCTTAAATTAATCCATTAATTGTCTATATAAGGGCAGGCTAAGGAGCAACCTTAGGACTTGAACCTGCTGTATTAAGGAGGATTGTTTTATCCATTAATGTTGCACACACATTTCACCTTAATGTGCTTCCTTGTGTTTGACTTTGAATTGTTCTTAAAAAAAAATCACTTCCTTCTGCCAGAGAGCTTTTTCCCTCCAAGAAAAGCATTTATTAAATGTCTTCTATATGAATCAGTCAATGAATACAGTAAAACAGATATTATTAGGATGTAGTGTGTGTGTGTGTGTGTGTGTGTCATTAAATGTGGAATGTGGAAAGTGCTTTTTTGTGTGTACATATATGTGTGTGTGTTATCTAGACCTTCGTATTGTTTCATCTAAGACTGGCGTGCAAACTGAAGGGTGTTGACAATCTGGCAAAGACTGCCTGATGTTATTTCCATTGAGTCGACAAAGGGCGAAGATGGTGTCATATATGCGTGTGTGTGTGTGTGTGTATGTGTGCATGAGTGTGTGTGTGTGTGTGTGTGGAAGAAGGAAGAGAGAGTAAGGTTCACACATTCTGCCTGGATTTGTCATAAGGAAGTACAACATCTCTTGCATCCTTTAATATTGTTTTCTAATAAACCATTATCGTGTAAAGCATTACACACACGTAACACACCTTTAAATCCCGCATATGACTTAGAGGTAGCAACCTAGCACAGTATGCAAACACGCACATGAAGTAGCGAGACGGGAAATGACGCACAGGAAAAGGTGCTTGTCGAATGTGGAAGGAAAGCTCGAGAGCTGCTGGCCGCTGACTGAATCCCTGCCTGGCTCAGAATCAGTTGTGTATTTTCTGCGTTTGCCTTGAAGACACAGGAAATACTGATTGGCTGTTAGTTAGGACGCCTGTAACTGCTCTGTATCCTCCATTGGGTCCTAAATAAAGTAGAAAATAAAGGACGTGGACTCCTCGGGGCGTATCACTGCCTGCTTTCCTTCTACATATTTTCTTCAACCCTCGTTTCCCTTGTAATCGTTACCCTAATCCTTCTTCTTCACCAGGGTTCCCTCCCTACCCGATCCCCACTGCGGGCCTCCACCAGTCTTGTCGCCATGTGGTCCGCTCATGGGCCAATCAGAGCTTCGGAGCTCACCTGCACAACATGACCCTGACCAATGGGAAGCTGCGAGTGCCTCAGGATGGGCGGTACTACCTGTACTCACAGGTGAGCTTACTGTACTGTCAGGGATTAAAACTTATTTCTACATCTTTAGACATTAAAACCAAGAGAAAAGGATTTTGTTTAATATAGAAATTACTATTTTAGTTCGGTATAAATTATAATTTTTTTTTTTTTTTTAGTAGTTTGATTAATACCAACTACTAAAACAAGAACTAGAATAATAATACCGCTAAAAAAACATTATAACTGTATTTATTTTAGCCCATCAACACCATGTACACAGATCAATACGCTAATAATAAGTAGAAGCTGCAAATAATGATTATTTTCCTTATTAATAATCTCAATCAGTACATTTGTGTCAGTTTTTAGTCTGTAGATTGTAAAACTGTTATAAACTCAAAGGAGTTCAGTTTATAAGACGATATCAGACCTTTTTCTTTCAATAAACTAAATAAATCAGACAATCATTTAAGCTTTGATTCAAACTGCCTCTCAGTGTCTTTATTTATTTTGTCCCTGCTCTGCTCTCTGCTGCCTCCAGGTGTATTTCCGTTATCCGTCCCCAGCCGCCGGTGACGGAGACCAGCGCAGCGTCAGCCACCAGCTGGTTCAGTGCGTCTACAAGAAAACCTCCTACCCAAGCCCCATACAGGTACGTTTCCCCTTCTCATGTGGAATAACTTCATCGTGTTAATTGAAACACACTTTCTTACCTTGATTTTCCATTTCTGGGCAGCTCCTGAAGGGGGTGGGAACAAAGTGCTGGGCCCCGGACGCCGAGTACGCCCTCCACTCCGTCTACCAGGGAGGGCTGTTCGAGCTGAGGGCCGGTGACGAGCTCTTTGTCTCAGTCTCTTCTCCAACCATGGTCAACGCGGATGATTCTTCCAGCTACTTCGGCGCCTTCCGCCTGGACCTCTGAGGGGAAGCGATGGGAGGAAATAAAAAAAAAGAGGAACAGATAGGATGATGGATGGATACATGGGTGGGCTTGGAGACTTTTGAGTATCCGTTGATTGGAAAAAAGGGTCGTTAAGACAGAGCGGGGGGATGTTGGCCTTGGATACTGGATCCTCAATGTTTGCTTGGATGGATACATTGAAGGAGCGAAGGACTGGGGTTTGAAGGCTTCGCTTGAGTTAACGCTGCAAGAGGAAGGGGTGAAAGGGAAAAGAAAAAGAGTGGATTTGTCTTCCTTACTCTCCATTAAGCGAAACCTAACCGTCAAGAGCAAGATATACAATAGATACATGTGCAATCACACGAAAATAAATGTGAGGATATCCCGGGGAAGGAAATTGCCTTTTGGATGTCAAAAAAAGAAGTAAACCAGAGAAAAACATTACAGAAACTTTGAGGTATTCCTGTTAGATGAGAATCGCCCAATAAATTAGGCTAAATATACGCTGCCCGTATCCCAAATTTACACATGAATCTCAGCGTGTCTCGCCAGCAACAGCCTTTTTTGTGTGGGAAGCAATCAGACCCTCTGATTTGGATACCAGACCGAAGAATGTACACACAATAAAAAAACTCAAATCCTCTGCATCGAAGATGTGAGGAAGGACGGTGAAATGGTAGCGGAATAAAATGATCAAACCAAAGCAAAAAAAAATAAAAAATGTTGAATATAACTTTTTTTTAAAGCGTGCCATGAGAGTTCTGTACATATGAATGGTTGAGAATGAGATTTAGACAATGAACTGTGGTGATTTTAAAAGTAATTCATATGTATTTTACCTTGACTGGACTTTAAACCACTTGGATTTTTTTTGCTAAAGACTATCGACTATCTAACACTAGAACTGTGGATTTTATGCAAGGATTGCTTCTTTGTACTGGATACAGCAATAAGACTGTGAGAAGCAACACAAAAAGAGTGCCTTTTGAACAAAGGAGTCTGTAAGGAAAGAGGAATGGAAACTAGGAGGAGGGAGAAATCTCGTAAATGCCAATAAGAACGAGCCCAGCAGAAGAAGATAAAAGGAAAGAGAGAGAAAGAGGGTGAGGGTGGTATGCAGCCCGACCAGTCTGTTGTTGTTGAACTCTTTCGTCTCTCTCCTTCACTTTCCGTCACGATCTGTCTCCTTCTTGTCCTTCTTCTTCATGTAAAGAATTTGATTTATCTCATCTTTCTTGTCTACCCTGTGGAGCTGCATTCAGTTTTTAGTTTAAGGGTCAGTTGCAACAACCAACCGGAAAACAACAACAAACACAGTACGGGAACAAGACGACGGACACATGTGCAACTTATTTCCAGATCAACAGACAACGGTCTAGGTTACATAAAACGACAAAGCGATGTTCAACACTGAAATATACTCACTTAAATGTTGTTTAAACACTTTGTTTTCACTTTTGCACCAAATGTAGCGACACATCTTTTTGTCCTGCAAAAACCAGTTGCTCTGGAGTTTCATCACTAACCAAAAAAATGAAAGTTGGCACCGTTGGCAAAAATACCAAAATAACATCTGGATAATTAAAGAGAAGGAGCTGAAATTGGAGCCGACTCACTTTACTTTAGCTCAGAAACTTAGATTAAGTAGTTAATTATGACTTTGACACCACTCTTGGACACGTTTGTGCTAAGCTAAGCTAACTCTCTCTTGGTTGTAGCTTCATATTTAACGGACAGTTATGAGAGTGGTATCAAACTACTCCCAAAATGTGGAACTATTCCTTTAATATGCAACCACCAGCAACTTAATCAGATGTGTTTTAACATTATAGAAAATAGCTGACGAGATAAAGGTTAGTTTGTAACAATAAAACTAAATTAACTTGGTGTGTGAGCGCTGAAACCGCCGTGGTGCTGTTGAGCAAGAGATGAATATCCTCCAATATGGCTGCCAGTGAACAAGAAACACTCACAAAAACACACATGCACAACATTTGCGCAATCCTGATACTGTATGTCAGCTGTAAACACACCCATACGATGAACGAATGTGTCTTTAACACAACAGTTCATCAGGCGAACACAGTAAAGGTGAGTTTTAGGAACACAGAGAACAGATTTAGTAACAAGACACAGACGCGCATAAAGAAAGATTTGGAAGGAGGGGATATTTGCAGACATAAACCATGCGCCGACTAGCACAGACTCAACCCCTACACGCTTTTTCTTTTTCTTTCCCCCTCTGGCACGCACATGTATGCACATAAAGGAGACACACACACACTCCTTAACACCGCATCCAGGCCAGTCGGTGCTCCACAGACACACACATCATCCAGTGTCACATCCAGTGTAAAGACACAAACGCACTCCGACACGCACTCATTTATCCACACTGTCTAGCCTCCCTGTGCCATCTGGTAGTTGTCAGTGATCAGTCGGAGGCTTGTAGGGAGTGTGTGTGTGTGCTTTACGGGACGTGTTTGTTCAAAGGGCTCGGTTCACATGGACGACTCCTAAAAAACGAGGTCAAGCAAACGTACACACACACAGATTTCTTTGCTTGTGTACGCAACCTTCAATTTGTTTTCCCGAAGAGAGAAAAAAGGCTGACACACGTTTAATGAGGTGACATCCAGGTTAATCAACAGGATTACACAGAAAGAAGCTCACATTATGGCCTATAAGCTCATCTTTCTGGCACTGTGGGCTCACGTATACCTGTGAATATGCTCTACTATAGACTATATACATCCTGTTTGTTTTTCTGGGCAAAGCACAAAATTGGAGAGAAATCTTCATTTTGTGTTTGATTGCTGTTTTAGTAGCTTTTTTTTTGCAGGGTGGCACTCGGTCACGTTTCTGCTCAGCTCTCTCCCAGTCCATCATATCACACATGCCAAACTCTCCCTCTCCCTCTCCCTCTCCCTCTCCCTCTCCGTGAACGTGAGCCTAAGTCGGTTTATTATCCAGGGTAAAACTTTCTTTCTTGCACTCCAAACAAAACAAACAGTTAGCTGAAACAGGTCCAGCGGTGATGATAATGTAACATACACACTCGTATTATAATAGCATAAATCCCTGGGCCAGCTGGGGAAACTTTTTTGCATTGAATCTGTGTGCTGGCGTGTTTGTACTGGACAGTTTTGTAGCTGTGAACATGTGTAGCACATTGTTGCTGAGAAAATAAACAAATATTTGAACTTTTCTCTGTGTACGTGGAGATTTACAGTGTGGTGATGTAGTGAGTAAAAGAGAACATCCTCTAAAAAGGTGGGGTAAATGTGATTATAATCCAATCAAATTCAGCTCATTTCTACTCACGCTCTGTTAGCTTTACGCTTTAAAATCTGGTGTTTGTACGCAGCTGTATAAAAAGTTCCCTAAACAGGAAATAATCTGCTCAAAATGCATCCAAATCTCTCGTTTTACACAATCTTCTTGCAGAGTTCACTGTTTGGGTTAATATAATATGAAAATATCCATAAATTATCTCACTTAATCATCTTATTAAATGATAGAAAAAGGTTGGGAACCACAGTTCTAGACATATGATCTCCATTTCCAAGTCACTGCTCACCAGGATGCATTCACTCTGCTGGAGACAGCGAAAGCATCCACAGTTTCTGGTCCGACCCCTGACCTTTGAGCTCCCAGTGTTTACCAGTGGGCGGAAGAGACGAAGGAATACCTCCGGGGATCCATAAAGTACCGCACTAACTGGCGGTAGTTCTGTTGGGATTCGATCCAAAGATTATTTTGTTTTCGGCAAACACAACTCATTATCTCCCGCTGGTTAATTAATTAAGTTTCTGAAGTTTCAATGTTTTTCATTTGCGGCACCCCGCAGAGCGAGCTTGCTCGTTGCTCAGTATCTGTCACAACATTTCACTTTCTGTGTGATATTAAATAAATAAGCCACGCATGCACATGCTGCTTCAGTGCCGGGCTCTGTTTATGCTCAAACATATGAATGCCAAAAGCCTGCCTGCGCAGTGTGGGGCCATGTCTTCCCAAATCATCTCAAGAATCAGAGACGTCTGAATCAAATCAAGCTGCATTTTGAGGTATAAAGACCGAAGCGGAGGCCAGCTTGATCGTCAAGAATCAGGAGAGTGTTGGCTCCATGTTTGGTTGGGTTTGTAATAAAATAGCGGGTAGGGGGGCGCCCATATTGGGTGGACAGTGTAGGAGTTCTTGTTAACAAACTGGGGGATATGACTGGACATTTGACCCTCAGTTCAACTGTGTTATACTTGCGAAAGACCAGATTGAAGGCAAAAAGCCACTGAAAGCAGGAAAGAGTAACGCTGGCTGCACTGAGGAGTCCCTGAAATGAGTTATAAGTCTAAGTATTTATTAGAATTGCTTCATTTCAGGTTATATTTGTTGATATAATTTGGGGTGTGTGTATAAAAATGGCAGCGGTGCCAACGGTGTTCGACTGATGGGGATTGTAATCCCTCAAATTAAAGCTTAAAGTCGCTGTTTCATTTCAAATTCAACATGCCGGAGTTCAGAGTTAACACAAAAATGAGTCACTGAAGTCTCCAGTCCACATGAAAACCCACGCAGACAAATCCAAAACCATACCAAACCTTTCCCAACCATTCGGGGTCAGGTCCAAACCCACCACTGAGCCGCTGTGGCGCCCAAAAGAAAACGTACTCAACCAAGGTGATCAAATTGGATTTCATGTGAGTCTCTAAACTAAAACAACTAGTAAGCGAATTAAAATCACATCAGCCTATAGGATTGTCACTTTATGTATGTGAGTAAGAGTGTGTGTTAATATGTGTGCACTGACATCTGCTTTGAATTCAATACAATCGATCCCAGTTCAATAGTGTTGATCTTGGCAGTTCTGATTGTACTGAATAATGCCCATAATATGTCAATTACGTCTTGTGTGTTTTGTCTTTTGTGGGGCTCTGGTTTTTGGACAAACTGTGCCTTTTGAACCAGCATCACATTAGAAATTGCCAGACCGCGAGTCGGACACGTTGTCCATCATTTGCTACCCATTAGACCTGGAGAAAGATTGCGAGCAGCTGTGAGGATCTAGACCTCAAATAAATCAGCGCAGTTTCACAGTTTCCAGCTCTGTTCTTGTCCTGAGCTCCCATCCAAGATCCATGCTGTGTTTATATTTTGAAAATAAGTGTGGCTTGCTGAACATAATTATATATTTCCAAGGGAAGTACATCACAAGCCTGGTTTCAGATGGACAGACCTGGTTTTCCAAAAGCAACAGTTTCTTTTAGAGGATGAGAGAACACCACCGACCAGCCGCTGTTGAGATGGTTGTTAAGACGTAGCGTTAGGTTTGTCTATAATACGTTAAAGTAAACAAAGTTATGTTTACATTCACCGTTTCTCATTGAAATGCGTTGTGTGTATCTTTGAAGACTAGTAACAGACAGTGAATAGATAGATTTTAAACCTTCATTGTTTACGTCAGTGGGTCCCAACCTGTGGTTCGAGACCTCCACTAGGGGTCGCCAAAGGGGGAAGGTATGGGAAGGTTGCGAGGCCTTCTTGATATTAAATAAATAATATACACAGTAGGCCTTTATCTCAGCATTTGATTGACTTCTGTGAAGAACGCGTTCATGTAAATTTGTCAAAAAAGAAGCCTATTAGTTGAAAATGATAAAACAAATACAGGAAATGTATTATATTAGGATATGTATCTGCTTACAATTCATCCAAATCACTCGTTTTACACAAACTTCTTGCAATTCACTATTTGGGTTCATTGTACAGTTTTTAATATAATATAAAAGACCCATAAAATATATGTCACTTAGTTTACTAAATGATAGAAATTGGTTGGTTGGTGGATTAGCATCAGCAGGACTCTTTTATCTCCCCTATATGTGGCCCCACTCATAAAAACATTACTCACTAGCGCCACTAGTGTTCAAAAACTCTACCTTGTGCCTTTAATCAACAGTTGTTTGGTAGCAGATTGTAGTTTTAGCTATGTAGCGTGAGGCTGATGAACATTTGAGGCAGAAATAATGTCATTGTTCAAGTTAAATTTTCTTACGAGAAGAAAATGGTTTAATGGTTCCTCTAGGTGCAACTGATCCAAGAAACATCTGCGGCTTATAAAAAATGGTTGTTAAACAGCGCAAGTGGCTAGTGAGCTTTTGAAATCTACCCCCAACTGTTGCTGGTGATTAACACGGTTGGACCGTAGCAAGTAAAAAAAAAAAAAAGAAACGCTGTGACTTCATGTTGCTGGCATTGAGACGGATCAACATATAAACTCATCAGGACCGGATTACGGACATTGTTCCACTGACTGTAATGCGTTCCTGTCCGAGCGTGACACAATGAAAAACAATGTTTGTGGAGTATTTTTTTGGCAAACTTAGTAAATGAGGCAACCAAAGACGAGTAAATGCAATCCAGACCTTCAAGTCCTCCAGAACTTTATATTTCAAAACACGTAATTGGGTTTGTATGATTATATAGGACTCTAACCTTGAACCCAAAGCATAAATATACCCCCTAGGAGAGGTGTGGACAGGCAAATTGTCCACACTTAAGAGGCCTGCAATTGTGATCCCATAAACAGAAATACAATAACTCATATTCAGTTCACAACGAGAATAAACACATGCCACAGACGCAGTTTTTAAACCACACAGGACATGCACACTAAGATTTTATTTACTGCTTTACAACTTTGACCTCTCTGAGTGCCTCTCTGAGTCTTTGCTTAAAGGCAAAGAGCAAGAACTGCTTCGATTTCAGCCTCCTACATTTTCTCAACCGTAGTTATCCACATCGAAATTCACACTTAATTTATTTTCTCACCATAGCTAGACTTGCTGTTTTTACTGTCTTGTACATTATTTCCGTTAATTTTTTTGTCTTCCATAGCTTCAGAAACACTGTCTATGAATGTAGATATTGTTCAATACTTTTTTCTTTTCCTTAAAGAAACCTAATTTGATACCACTTGAGGAATGTACATGTAAAATTCTTCTGTTGATTGCCTAATAATGCTTATTTTGTGCTCAAATAAAGTGCCTAATGTCAGACGGGGAGTCCTTCATTATTATCAGAATAAAACCTAAAATGTCACTTGCATTAGATGTTTCAGGTCAAGGTGGATAGATTGACGGGTTTTATTAGCTTCATTATACGTATATATCTCTATATTTAAATCAAAATATATTCATTTTGAACCCAGCTTCTCTAAACCAATCTGGCTAGCAGCTATGATTGACTACAGACGCCGTCTCAACCTAAACATTAGCACCATAATCACATGTTTAACATTATGTGTGTTACTCTACCTACAGCTACTCCCCCTCAAGCCACTGAAAAAACTTTTTATATCAATTTGCCTGGTTAAAAGGTTAATCCACAACTGTGTTGAGCCAAATTCACACAGGAATTTTATTATCTGGGGAGACCTAGTAATTTGTGGTAATTGCAGAGACTGTCAGTATATTTTGACCCCATGTGAATCTACCACATCCGTAATTTGTCAAATAATAATTCCAGCACAAATTGCCAACCATAATTTTGTTAAGACGGAGGTCTCCTGATAATACTGATCTTATGCAAACTGATGGGATAACTGCAGCCATAGATTTGGCTTCTTGGCAGGATTTTTTTTGTGTGTGTTATATGGACGCAGGAGTGAAATGTTTTTGTTTTAAAGTAGAACAAAAACATTCCTTCATTATGGTGCAAACCTTAAACGGCTGCTGCACCTTAATGTGGGGACCAAACTAAATCAAATTCAAACCAATGAACACAAATACAATCTAGGAGGATGAGAGTTGGATTAGATGTGGAGAAGATTCTTGTTTTGTCTTTGTTTTTATTCTAAATGTGTCAAATTTGAGATGTTTCCCATTTGAACAAGCTGCCTGTTCAGTGGGTAATTCATCATTAACATAACATCATAAATATCCCCTAAAAACAGGTCCTAAACCTTCGAACCCTGGGTTGTTTTTATGTTTTTACTCCCTTTATTTACTAAGTTATAAAATAGTCACTACACGTCTTTATATATATACACTTTATATATTGGTAATTTAATGTTAGGCCACACAGAAATGGCAACAGCTGCTATGTCAGTGGTAATATATGGTAGCAGGTTTAACTGTCTGTATGTCCATAGGTTTTCAACATACAGCAAATATCTAAATATAAATGGGAAGGGGAGGGTGTCAAGGTTCAAGAGAGTAAAAAAATAATGATTTTATTACTTCTATCATCATATTTTAATCTTCAACTGGGATGTTTATGTTTTGAGCTTTGGCACTACAGTTCCCATCCTGCTTTGGGTGATATAAACAGAAAGTATTGTCACAGAGTCACTGAGCTACACCTGAACATACTAAGACTTGCAGAATGAGTCAAGTTAGTAACACTGCAATATGTAGCTACCATTAGCAATCACTGGCAAACATTAGCCATAGTTGTACCTGGACAAGTCAGACTAGTCGAATTGAGAGAATGTGGTAGGGATGCCTCTCGACTAAAGATTTCCCTCGTCGACTTATTCAGCAGCTAGTACAGTTAGCATATGCAACAGTGCACCAGCAAGTAAAAAGTCTGTGTTGAAACAATCCTCTCATACGGCTCCAGAACGGATTCTGACGTTGTTTTTCATCGACTAAGACTTAAGGGTTAAGTTGATTATTAGGCTGCAGCCCTAAAACGTGGTCATTTTTCATAATTTAAAACTTAAAACAAGACTAGCTACTGTCTTGTTTTCTTAACTGAAATCATCCCTTTGCTGAAAACTTCAATCTGTATTCAAAGTTTGCAATCAAATCAGCTCAAAAGAAGACCAGTAAGAAGCAGCAGAGATGGAGGGCAGGCCCCTGTTTCCCTGTAAGACTCAACACTAAAGTTTCTATGCATCCGATTCGGTACACCTGTGTTTCTACGGACCAACACACTTCCAGTGATCTTGAAAACATCAGTGTGTTCTTAGGTGTGTCGCATCTGGGCATGAGCGGGTTGTGAGCGAAGCACCTTGGCAACACATCAAAAACCGAAAGCATCTGCGAGCGCTTTGCCACTCAATAAAAAGCTGCAATCGCCTCGCAAACCGAGAAAAAACGAAGGCTGCGATCAAGCTTTTGGTTTCCAGATCAGAGCAGAGGTTGCAGCTCTTACTTTTGCCCTCCTGATGCCAAGTTATGGTAACTGATCCCAACCAGAAATGCACCTATTTTCATCTTACATGCATCTCTCAGGGTCTTCAGATGAACTCGTTTGACCTACGTCGACAATGTTGAGAAACTCAAATACAGAGGGGGCCAAGGACAACATCCTGATCCTCCATTACAAATTACCTCATAAATTAAAAGTAACTTAACGAGGGAGGGAGGGGATGGGGGGGAGTCAAAGAAATTCCTGTGCTGAGACCCACCAAGATGCATTTCTTCCAGTGGTCTCTCCCACTGATTGCAGTTGCAGACGCCCTTACATGGTCTCGGTAGCAAATTTACAAAAAGCCAGGCAGCAGCAACAAAAGATATCAGACCAGTGGTGTAACATCTGTTGCCTTTCATGCCCCCATCCAATCAGTGCAATCATTTAAAAGCCAGACCAAAGTTTATTCCCCCCAGATTGTACCTCAGAAGTTGGCAAAATGTGTTTACCCTACTATTTTTTAACTATTCTAAGAATATAAACCTTTTTTGCAGCAGCTATTCTAACAAAGAATTGTATGGTAAACACAGGTGTTACCAAAAAGCGTGAAAAAGACATTTTGTGATTGGTTAAAAGAAAGCCAGAGAGTATACCAAAGTGATAATGGCATTTAAGGGCTAACACTAAGTATGGAGACTAATGGCTGACTCATAATGACGTCTACCTCCCTCTCTCCTCCTACATTTCCTGCCTTCTTGAAATCCTTTCGTATACACCGGCGGGGTTAAGCGAGGACAGTAATGTCGACACGGTACATTTGAGGCGAGCTGCAGCAACATCTGAGATTCACATTTTAGTTTTATTAGCTCTGGCTTTACGTAATGTCTTACTGATGTTTGCATATTAGCATAAACAGAACCATGCACTCGCAGACAGAAAGACTACTAACAACAATGAATGAATGGCAAACTAAAACAAACCCAGTAACTTCTAACGTAAAACAACTAACAGAGACTTGATCTCATGTCTACCTGCAGCACAACCGACACCAGGATGAAGAAATCGAATAAAAAAAAAGGGTCATAAAGACGCTGTGGAAGTCGTGTAAACTCCCTTGTGATTTGGTGGACAAAGGGACAGTGTGTGTGTGTCTCTGCGTAAATGAAAGGAATGTTAAGTTTCATTAACCCTGCAGAGGAGATAAGAATGTGTGCAATTTGAGCGTAATATGTGCACGTATGTGTGCGTGTAGATCCGTCCATGATAACATCAGCCTGCAAGACTAATTAAACATAATGTGGAACATACAAAGTACGTGTGGCATGAGGAGGAAAATGTGTGTGTGAGACATGACATATGAATGCATTAATGTTGTTATTACTGTTTTTATATATGAGATTTCTTTTTACCATAAGTGACAGCTGATGTGAATTGAATAAAAAGGGAGAATTAGTACTTCACCCGTTGAGTCGACACTAAAAATATAAGAATCAAAATTAGGTTTATTGCCAAGTTTTTACATACAAGAGGTTTGTCTTTGGTGCATAACAATAAACATAGTTTGAGAAAATATAGAGATAAAAGCAAGTGCTGCAAGTCAAGAAGTATATAAAAACAGGGGGAAAAAGGGGGTTTCAATGTGTTTTGAATTGTTAGGCGATTATTATATAATATTAAATAAATTATCATGTAATTACTGTGTCAAGGAGAGCAACAAGAAGGAGGTTTGTATGAGAATACACAAATCTGAAAAGAATAAGTACTCGTAAACACAACACAACATAGTGATTGTGACTAGTTTAATTTGTCATAAAATAATAAAGCCAGAAAATATTGTTTTTCTAGTTTCGGGATGATTTACAGCTCTAATCCTGACTCAGGTGAGTTAATGCAGCCAGCTATCCGCAGGTATCTATGTTACTTTACACCTAAAGGTAATTAATTCATATAAAAAAGAAAAAAAGTAAACACTTGAATTAAACAAATAAGCTCAATTATACTTCAAATATGCAACTTTATTTAAGCACACAGCCAGAACAAGACTCCTGTCCATGACTTCGATTTCAGGACCCAGGCTGAGATTAATGGATTCCATTGGTCATATTTAAGACTTTATCTGACTTTCTCCGACCCCACTGTGTTTTTATAAGAGTGTTAACAAAAGACCTATTGCATTTTTTTTTTAACCTGCCCTCCCAAATACAGAACCACCCTTCCTGACACACACATGCACACACCACCCAGTCACCTCCACACAGCAGCTATCTCCATATCAGCATTCACTTCATACTGCGCCCGCTTTTCCCTCCGTCCTCCCTCTTTTTTTTCCTCACACACACACACACACACACAAACACATGTCCAACACACAACACATCCATCATATAGCTGCCACACATCCTTTCATATCAACAGTTGCTGCCGTTTTTCTCCACGTCTCCCTACATTATTACCCAGCGTACTCTCTGTTTTCCTAAGAGCCAGCCAGGAAATTAGTTTTATAAAGCTGCTAAGCACACACACACACACACGCACACTTATGCATGCATGCACAGCCACACAGACAGAAAAACCCAAAACATCCTGAAGAGACTAAGTGGGGCCAGACAAGCTCTCAACCTGACACACACACATACTTTTTTTAGGAGAACAATACTACTGTTTCAACCCTGCTGCCCCGACTACCGGCCATTGGAAATGGGAATTTTCAGAATCAGTGGGAGTGGTGCTATCAGAATACCTTGCAGGGCACCTAAACAATGCAGTTATTCCTGCAGTAAAGCAACAAACATTATTAAGCCTTTGATAAGGTCTTTAAAGCAGCAGCCCATTGGCACACAAAGGTTTTCTTTTTTATGTCGCAGGAAGCTGAAGGGAAACAACCCTCGGAGAATGAGAAAACGAAAAGCCGTGTGGGC